CGCAGTCGTGTGTATATATATATATATATATATATATATATATATATATATATTATATATATATATCGTATGTTTTACGATTATTTATTTATTTATTTATTTATTTATTTCACAGACCGTGAAAATAATACTGTTTAACAATATTGTTTTATACACTTGCAAGAATTTTTCTCATCTTTAACTTTTTGTGTTAAATGCTTTATCAAAAACACTGTACATATCTAGCTTCCATTTACGAAATCCTATTAGATACCCACATTTACCATTTCCCTTCCTCTCGGTCATCAACAACCAATGAGAATGACTCTCCTGAAAGTGAGTTTACCACAGATGTAATTCCAAAAAAACAGCCTCGATACACCTACTGAAATCAGAACAATGTTAAAACTCTCTCTCTCTCTCTCTCTCTCTCTCTCTCTCTCTCTCTCTCTCTCTCTCTCTCTCTCTCTCTCAGTGACTGCGAGGTATATTCTCACATTATAGAGATGGAATTGGAAGTTAAAACGACTTCCCTAAAAAGCAGTATTTCGTTGCACATATTGTCCCTAAAAAGTGTAGGGCACCTTGGGAATAGCCTGGAACATGTAGTTGCTGTTGCTAGTTCAGCCGCGGAAGTTGAGACTGTAGCTGGCTGATCAATGGCCGCTGTCGACTACTGCTTTGTATATTCATAACATGGTATGATTCCTACTATCACGAACATGTGTCAATTTATCGCTAACTAATAGTTATGGAACCAGGTGTTCGTGATGAGTTTCGTGTATCCTGCCCTACCGGTTGCACCATTCACAAACACATCCTTCCCCCTCGGCGGCACCAGTCACAAACACATGCAAAGGCAAGGCAAATGTTCACTTGATAAAACAAGTCAAGGTCAAGGGGACGCATCCGGGCACAAAGTAGGCATCCTCCATGGACACCAAGTGTAATTAACTTACGTTTGAGGTATATCGATGGGTGGATCGCGTACAGTAATGATCAAATATCCAATTCCTTTCCACTGATTTAACCCCCTGAACTAGAAAGAGATTCGTGAAATCGCCTCATCGTCAACAAACTATCCACAAGACTGAGGGATGACTTCAACCCTCACTTTTTATTGAGCAATATTCAAAAAGCTCTCGCCTTTGATGAAAACATTTCCAAACTTTTGAGGTACAACCGAGCATGCTCTGTCCACGAAGATTTCAAAGTACGTCATACGACACTTGCGCAAAAGTTGTTTGATCCGAGTTACAACATTGCAGACCTAAGTAGAGCTTTCAACAAGTTTTATGGTAGGCATGTGGAGGACATTTCCGCATTATGACTTTAACGGAAAATTACCCAAATGCTGTCTGGATTCCCTAGTGAGACTTATGGAAATGGTTTTGTCGCTGATATTAACACAAACAAACAAATGAAAAAAGTTTATTTTTTCTTATATGCATATTACAACAACAATAATGACTGCCATATATTGAATATTGAATATATTAATATTTTGAGAAAAATTCGAGTACACATTGAATCGTAACAACTTTAGGCTACCATCTTGGAATAAATAAGATAACGACTTTTTTGTATACTCATTAAAAGATGTTTTTTATATCTATACTCCGTGCCAAAGATAAAAACGATATTAAATTATCACTTATAGTGAGTTCTACATCTTATGATAGCACTCAATGCTGTTTCAAATGTTTAATAGTTTCCTAATGGTCAAACAGAATAAAAAAGCTATTATCTGCTCTGATAGTTCCTGAAAATGAGGCGATAATTAGTACATGGCTTTGGACGCAATTCTTTTAGCCTGCACATCAAAGTGTCTTGGAAGAGAAATATTCCTCCTCTTGCAAAAAACAACGGGCCCTGTTAGGCTACAGGTCTCCCCTGGCAGTAATTTACCAAAATTGACGCTGTTGCTATTCCAGGGCATCGCCTGGATGAAGCAAGGCCCGTGGCGGTACAACTTGGGGGTTAAGGTGGTGAGAAAAAACACGCGTAACACATCAAAGTGGACGATGTTGTCCAGACTGGTGGTGTTGTTAATATACGATCGATTCTGGACACAAATAGGATTGAAAGGGTTGTGAAACCTCTAAAGGACTGCCTTGGGATGTTTTCTTGTGGTTGTAACTTTAAGCTATAAAATCAATTTTGTAGATAGCCGCTTCCTATTTGAAAAAAAATGGATTTTACTTAAGAAGCCATCGTCTGGAAAAGTGATCGTCTTCGGCAATTTCCATTATTTTCTTCAATAAAGTTGAATGAATAGGAATTTGGGCTGAATAGCAATTAGGCGAGGGCGGACTTGTCAGGAAATATATATATCTTCCGAGTTCACGTCTCGAAGGTTGTATACACACTGAACCTGATCATGATGATCGTTTAGAAGTCCTTCCTGTATATTACACCGCATATATTACCTTAAATTGTCTGTCCATGTAAATTGATATTTTCTAGAAGCCATAAATTTCGTCTTTCAGATTGTTTTTACTACTGTAAGCTAATATATACACTGCACTTTATCATGCCTTTCACACAGTCATATGTGAAAATATCTATATGAGTGAACGAGTGAGTGAATATAGTTTAAAGCCGCATGGAACAGTATTTCAGTTAACTTTTATCACAGCTAGATGTGGATGAAAAGCTCCTGTTGCAGATCTTAGATGTGTACCACGTTTATGAAACTCAAGAGAATGGTGCGGAAAGAAATATAATTTAAAAACTCCGAAACCGTGATAGGATTTTGGCACGCCTAAGGGGCGCAACTCCTACGCCTTAGATGTCTGGGCTACCTGTTCCTCCCTAAAATCAAGGAAAATAACTGTGGCGATAACAATAACAAGAATAACTGTGAGTATACCATTATTTCTAGTCTGTCTTACAGGCCCTGATACAAATATATATCAAATACAGCCCATGCAAGTCTATAATGTTTGGCAAGTCTAGATTACTGCAGTATCAGGTCTGAATATGAAGAGAGTCACTGGGCTCCTTTTTATTATATTTTTATTAAGATAACTGAACAACTGTTCTTTTCTGTACGATATGTTCATTTCAGAGACTAGATTTTAGACTACATTACTTCGTATATTGTAAATTTCGACATATACACAAACCTAAGCATTAAGTTAAAATATATATTAAATGGGCTGGCATTTCAGCCCCTCACACAATCTAATCGTATCCACTAATCCTTCAGTGGCCTGACACTGTAAACCTGCACACAGTGAAACCCTGATAAATAGAATATGAAGTGACCTGGAAAAATCTCGACTTCACAGGTTTTCTAGTTAGTCAGTTATTGGGTGATCTAGCTCACTATTGAGATAAACTCATTGGATTAACAGGGCAATTTAGGTCGGGTGGGGATTAGCAACACTTATGTTATTGCCAAAGAATCACATGGATCAGGTACAAGTGACAGAGATAAGATACCTCACATTATGGTAAGTATGTATGTATGTGTGTGTGTTTATGCTATGCTATGCTATGCTATGCTATGCTATGCTATGCTATGCTATGCTATGCTATGCTATGTGTGTTCATTTTTTTACGTATAAAATAGAGTACGTTTATGAAGAATTGTGCAGCATATATATATATATATATAAACAATTATATATTTGGGTGAAACAGAAATTCGGCATTTTGTACATTTGTACATTTAATATAACACAAACGTCACCCTGAAATCCCGATTTTACTGCACAAATGTAGGATTGCCATGGAAACTGATAGCATGCCAAAGGGAACATATTACACGTAATTAAATATTCACTGAGAATGTGTTTATGGTCAGTGAGTTCAGTTTTACGATGCTTTTAGCAATATACCAGCAATATCACGATAGAGAACACCAGAAATAGGCTTCGAACATTATACAGTTTGGTAATACTACCTGTAGTGATGAATATATATTTACATTATTTATTAAACTTCTATGGTATATATTGTCAAGTTTACTCATAATATGCCTATTATGCCGAAGCCTGCGGGCGGAGTGTAATATAGTTGAACTTCTGTGAACAGTTTGAATTAACGTTATCAGAAGTGTTTTGTTACATTAATAATAAACGTTGATCTTCTTTAGAGAATATTGTTATACAATGTATACATAAAGCTGCTTCTATGTAGAACCAGGTAATACAAATACTCGTACATCTAGACACATGAAACATAACAGCCATTGTTGAAGTGCACATGAACGAAACAAATATAATCACACACTCACAGTCCATATCATCCTACGGTCCCCTGTACTGTTAATATATGTTCTAAACGCAAGATATACCTGTATGTACAAATTTGCATTCATATTATGCAGCGTTTAGTTACACCATTCCTGTCAATTGATTACCCTGTTCAGAGGACGCGGTCGTCATGCCACGTGATCATTCCTTATGATCTGAGAAACCCGCCACGATGCTCTAAATACGCTGAATATATTATCAGCATACACTCATCTCAAGCGACTATTGATCCAAGACGATGAATAGATGACAATTGAATGGTTCTACTCGGTGAACCAAACGCTAAAAGGCAACACTGCCCGTGAGATTCCTAACGTAGTTCTTAGTACTATTTGGGGCTATGTAATTGGATTAATTCTTGTGGCTTTTGTCCACAGGGTCTGGTCTTAATTCACGTGAACACTGTCAGAAACTGACAACGGAACAGTCCTGAACACTCGTACTATTTTCGTAGTGTAATGGGAGGGGAGTGTTATGGATATTACCTCACACATGCAGGTGACGAATTGAGCCAACCAAGAACAATATGACCAGGTGATATGGTGGAAGAACATGAATAAAACATAACGTTTCTGCCGTAGTGGTTGTAGCAAAAACGAGTGTGATGTCAAAACACTGATATTGATTGGTTTTGAACCGTGAGTCCATGTGCGTCAATTGCTTCCAGTTGAAATATGTGTGGAAGATGCAGAAACAATTCAGCTTTTGACAGCCAGAAGCTACCTCGAACAAAGGGGTGCATTGAGGTGGGCTACTCACCGGATATCGTTTGGTAAGGACAGGAAGTCGTCTGCTTTCAGTGACCATGGCCTAATAACAAGGTCGTATTGATTGGTGAGTTCAGATCGAGGCTGTGAGAAGCGATCGATGTTGGCTATCAGACAGAACGTGGGGTGATTCACCATGTCTCATCGTTCGGTCCATATTAGAACGTCATGCACGAGGAGACAGTGTGTAAGTCTAGTCTCATATGATCCATATTATTAGTATTAATGTAATAATGTAAAACATTCTGAAAGTATTGACTCTACGTCAGATTGTAGAGACCGTCCGTATTTCCAAATGCACGAACCACAGCTAATGATGGTCGTTTTGCGAATTTCCATAAACCAATAACAGCAATATCGTTCTTTGTTTTCGTTGTTTGCATTCAAGATAAAACATATCTACACATTGAAATATGCGTTTATATAACATATTTACTTAATATGAAGTACGTCTGGGATCACATATATTTTGGCGATATCAATATACTCAATTAATGAAAATACATATGATTTAATATATGTTCAGACACATAATGATTCTCTGTAATAGTATTCCTGTGCGCATTTCTAACTGAGAGAAATGAACTTTATCACAAAATGTTTCCTGAGGGCTCTGATATATTTCTGCAATAAATGTACAAAATGTACACAAAATCGATATCAATATCATGTACTCATCAAAATAACTGGAAAAAACATATGATTCTATGTAATAGTATTCCTTAGCGCATATCTAACTGAGAGAAATGAATCAAATCTTAAATCTCCGGGTCCTGGTTCGCGTTGTGGCAGAAACGTTAGCCACATTTATTGCACAGCCTTAACAACTTGAGACATGTGCAAGTTCTTTGGCACTTGGCCTGACCCAGATTTCAACTTGTATTGCGTCATATTTTCTGCGTTTCCATATTTCTCTGTTCATATTTTGTTATGATGTATGGGTATGGACAATCACACTATCCAAGATCTGCAAATCGTAGGTTCGAATCCCAGATTCGCCAAACCTATGGTCATTGATTTTTGCAGCGATGATACCGTTCGTCATTAGTGAAAACATCTACGACCTTAATCATTTTGGGGGCGGTCGGGTAGCCTAGTGGTTAAAGCGTTCGCTCTTCACGCCGAAGACCCGGGTTCGATTCCCGACATGGGTACAATGTGTGAAGCCCATTTCTGGTGTCCCCCGCCGTGATATTGCTGGAATATTGCTAAAAGCGGCGTTAAACCATACTCACTCACTCACTCACTCACGTTAATCCGACAACTTGAAGAAACTGAAATACTTTCCAGATCGGCGCAAACAATAACTTACTCACTCGACATGGCCTAGAGGTACCACTATGCGGTAATAATGTACTGTGAAGTTTCGGCTTAATATTGATGGAATTACGCCAGTAGAAGGACACGCCACTGGGAGATATTTTTGAAAATGTCTTCAGAGCTTTAACATCTATTTGCGCGAAGATGGTCACTTAGCACACCAGCACACCGAGGTAATTAAAGAAACGTACTTTCAGTGTTGGAGATGGTGGACAGAATTAGAAGCTAACCTTCAGAGCGTGAGATTCCAATCACAGCAGACTTCTTTTTTAGGTTATTGAATAAAGCCAGGCGGCCGTTTTCACACATGGCTCGTCAGCAAGATTGAAGCAAAATGAAAACTTCGAGTTGGGTTCTATGTCTCGGAAGAAGATGCGAAGCGCTTGACATGAAGGATTGAACTTTTTAATAACTTATTTGAAGGGAAAGGATTAATCAACTGTATTCATATGTCATATTGAGGTAGAAAATGATAAGGGTTAGGTGAAACGCGTTTCGGTACAGAGACTGTTTTGCATATGCTTAAATCCGATGACTTGGTTCATATTGCGTCCGGGCCATGAATCTGTAGATTAATGTGATAGATCGTTCTGGTTGCAATATCGATTCACGTCAAAGGTCATCTGGTTCACATGTTGATTCATTGTTTTACTTGATCATTTCATTATTTTACAAATTGAAATAGAGGCATGAAGCTGAATCTATATGATATAGATGTTTTTTACACACTTGTGAGAAACCCATTTGAGATAACTGGTATTAAACATGTGTGAGATTTAATTCCAGGTCCGTGATTGGCTACTCCATGGTAATGACCTGAGGTCAGATTATGACGGACTACTTTCCTGATTGTAATTCGTTGATAAGTTAGTCGTGCTTTAGTCGAATTCACCTAAATCTGTGTCGAAACTTTATATTTTTAGTGTGTTAAGAAGTGTTTGTGGATGTTTTCTAGTTTGCATCTTTTTATCATAATGGCCAGGGTCACACCAAGTAAGCCGGATGCCGTCACTGATGGCCGTTATGTTATGTATTAATACGCAACTTCTATCATGCGAATAGACACAATATGCATCGATTTCATGCTGCAATTGTGTGACTATAGGCTGTGTAAGAAACATATTACTGTACTCGTGCCTGTCACATACCATTTATCTTACAACTCGTTGTAAGTTACATGGCATGCCAGACACTCGTTTAGTAATCTCTATATCATATAGATGTATTAGTTCCAGAACCGAGGAGTATATATGGTCAGGAGGTTAATGTTTCTTGATGGGATATTTCATTGGAGAAATACATTTCACTTATTTCACTTCTACGTCAGATTTGTCGCCCAACAGATATGTGTTTGAGCTAAAGACATGAATTGGTCCCATGTTACATAAACACGAATTGTTTCCAGCAAAACAAAAACAATAGTATTACAATTATCATCAACGGGACTATCACACAAATCTTTTAACCCTCTAGTGATGTCATGTCATTGTTCTATACATGGTGTTCTTCTCATAGCAGGTGTCAATCGACCGGTGAAGATCCGGGATAGAATAGGTCTTCAGCAACCCGTGCTTGCCGTAAAAGGTGACTATGCTTATCGTAAGAGGCGACTAACGGGATCGGTGATCAGGCTCGCTGACTTGGTTGATATATGTCATCGATCCCAATTACGTTGAACGATGTTCATGATATCTATCACTGGATTGTCTGGTCCAGACTCGATTATTTACAGACCGCCGTCATATAGCTGGAATATTGCTGAGTGCGGCGTTAAACATAAATCTACCTTGGTGTCAATCAGGTTGACAGCCGGTAGCGACTTTGAATATGGAAAGAGATGTATTAGTTCACCAGTAAGACCTGCTTTGAGGTTTTACTTCTTTACTTTTAATCATAAATAAGACCTGCTTTGAGGTTTTACTTCTTTACTTTTAATCATAAATAAGACCTGTTTTGAGGTTTTACTTCTTTACTTTTAATCATAAATAAGACCTGCTTTGAGGTTTTACTTCTTTACTTTTAATCATAAATAAGACCTGAATTGAGGTTTTACTTCTTTACTTTTAATCATAAATAAGACCTGATTTGAGGTTTTACTTCTTAACTTTTAATCATAAATAAGACCTGCTTTGAGGTTTTACTTCTTTACATTTAATCATAAATAAGACCTGCTTTGAGACGTGAATGGAACCTGCAGCCACATACATCATGTTTAGTGTTGTCACCGAGGGTCTTCCCACAGATCATAAGCCATCGGGTCACGGGATGAAGTAATGGTTCACTAAGAAAATGATTTGTGACAGCGTTTAAACAGGTGTACGGGTATCGAGATGTAGTTTAATTAATAACGACCTTGAATTCAGTCTTGGTGGGAAGTTGGTTTGTTTGTTTGTTTGTTTGTTTGTTTGTTTGTTTAACGCCACTCTCAGCAATATTCCAGCTATATGGCGGCGGTTTGTAAATAAATATTCCAGTCTGGACCAGGCCATCCAGGGATTGACATCATGAGCATCGACCTACGCATCTGGGATATTATAACATGCATCAACCAAATCAGCCAGCCTACCGATCCCGTTAGCCGCCTCTTACAAGCATGGGTTGCTGAAGACCTATTCTAACCCGGATCTTCACGGGTTCCTGGTGGGAGTAGTTAGACCTTGGGGATATAAAACGAAAAGTAACACCTCGGGCATTGGATTTACTTTTTGACCTGTCCACTTTCAGGTCCTTCTATCCCATAATGTCTTCATTCTCGGCCGTGAACTTTTACATACAATCCAACGATGATAAGATCGTGTGGTGAACAAGATATTTTGAATTCAGAATTATTGAGTGAATACGGTTTTCCACATTGTACAATTGTCTGGGATCTATCCCCGGTCTACAAAGTGACCCCATCGCTTCTACATCGAAGCACCGTGTGTGCTGCTAATGACTCGTTATTCTGCCTTCCTGTCCACTGCACTGTGCGCTCGTTATGTGGGCTGGGAATGTTGTCTTAAAGTACTCTTCAATCGTTAACCCATCACGTGTGACAAGACTGATATTGCAGACAGGTCACAGACAACGTCAAGGGTAGCTGGGGTGATACAATATGACAGTGGTGTGGATTGTCGTTTGTTTGTAATAGTAATAATAAAAAGGTACTACTACTACTTCTTCTACTACTACTACTACTACTACTACTACACAGGTGAAGATGAAGATGAAGAACACAGTATCTCAGGCGACATGATCGAATGGATCGATCCTTTTATTACCGTCTTCGCCATACTTGTGGTTTTGACACGGAGAACTATCCACGGTGCGACCCAGAGTGGGCGTAATGAAAAATGATAATTATAAAATGCTTTGGAATAGGCCCATATAAAGCCTCAGGCTTTCCAAGCCAAGAAATGCGACCTTGTCTTTTTTTATAAGTCCAATGAACTCATTTGTAGCATCGAATTCTCTATCCCTTTCGACACTTATGTGATTGAGGAGATTCAGGAAAAATATGGCAAATTTGCGGACCTCGCTTACGAAATGTTACGCTTGCATCCCAAGTATCAAGTTGTCCGACACCCCATTGTTCTCACTGTCTTAGATTTGGTACATCCCAATCTTTTGACTGACATAGGGACAGTACCAAGGTTTGATGTCGGGAACACAGCTCTTCTGACAATCTGGGTAATGTTGAGGGTTCTTCACATTCTCCGCAAAACGTTCTGGGTTGGTTCGACTTGGCAGACTGGCAGCG